CCTACTACAGCCCAACAACTGCAGGCACATACATCTTATGAAGGGAAATTACCATGAAACAACATGTGGAACAGAATCACGGCTTGAGTGCTATGCACTGATTTAAATTATTTGCAGAATTCTATCAGGTGCAAAATGTTCTTATGAAGAAAAAGGACAATTTTTATCCTCCACTGATTTCTTTTCATGTCTTTAAAGGGGCCATGAAAGCACAGGATTGGATGCCATGGCTGCAACAGACTGTGAGCTTGAAAAAGAAATACATAAGAACAAACAACTGCCCGAAGCTGAACAACATACTCTTGATCAAGACCGTAACTTGGCTAGAAAAATGGAACAAGAACGCAGGAGGAAAGAAGCAGTAAGTTGCTGACTCTTGCTACTTGATTTTTTTTCAACTCGAGAATAAATAAATATTAAGTCAGGTCCTAACTTCAAAGGATCTGAATAATTGAAAACAACAGAACTACACTACCTGAAGAATTAGTCCAGAAAATGAAATAGGAAACTCAAAGTATGTTTTCAAGTGATGTACTATGAAAAGCTATCTTCTTGGTCCTGTTACTCCTATAAGCTTAGAAAAATTGTGTAGTAAACTAAAATTGTAAATAATAAAATATTATTTATACCTTCTAGATAGACATATTTTATATTAAAATATATATTTATAATATTTATATATTTATAATATATATATAAAATATTATACAGGCCTTCTAAATAGTTTCAAACCTTGAGTCTCGCAAGCTGTCTATCCTCTTTAACATGTTCCATATCAACAAAAGTGCTAGTCATACTGTTCTGATCTGAAATATCAACCCTGAACCTTTTTAAAACTAACTCTATTTATTGGTGTAGGTAATGACTGCTTTTTAATTGCTACCTTTTTCAGAATAAACATTTCTTAATTCATGAGAGGACTTCAACAGCAGGCACACTCAAACTTGTAATAACAGAGAAGGCATACATTTTTTTAGAAGATGCCTTATAGTTTTTTCTTAAATCCTTATTAAATATTTTACCTCCATAGTATTCATTAATGTCTGATTGCTATGAAAAGACACTAACTTGCTTTCTTGCAGATGGCTTGGCTAATTGATGTGAATCTGCAGAGAGATATTATGGCATCTTTCGAAGAATATCTTCAGTGAAAGCTGTAGTTAATATAGAACTTAACTTCAAAACTGCTGCAAGCAGCATAGTTTTGTACTAGTTAGGATCCTATAAGACTTACAGTTTAAAGGGTATGTAAGCTTCTCTAAAATACTTTGTATTAAAAGCTTGTTCATTAACACCTGAAGTGCCAAAAGACTTTTTTTTTCCGCGGCTCGTTTATACCATGGAATGCAGTCTGATACACACTGGAATGCAGCTGTTCTTTTGTTTACAGTTTTGTATGTTGTGTATGTATGCTATTAATACAATCACTTTACTTTGACACACTTGCACAGAATCTGGGCTGTGATAAAAAGACCTGTACAATAGTGATACTCTCTAAAGGGTTAATAACAGTATTTGTAATCATAAATAAAGTTTCCATTAATGCTGTAATTTGAGCAGTAAATCCTGTGTAATTGCATTTCTTTTAAGGCCCAGATGTGTTTAATGTATTTTATCTTAACATAACATGCGGCTAAGGGTGCAAACATGTCTACCACATAGTTCTGGTTCTTCACAGGAAGAAGTTATCTAAAACAACTGGCTCCAGTTTTGAAAGATTTTCTGATTAATGCAAGATTTTATTAATGTTGGACTACTTGTCTGAAGCAGAAACCAGAATGTAAAAACTCTACATTCTTGTTGATTATATATAGCTGTGTCAAATTAAGGATGGGAGTAATAAAACATTGGTTTATAGACTTAATACCAAAACACAGTGCGTAATACAGAAATGTTGGGTGGAAGGGGCCCCCTTGAGATAATCCCGTTCAGCAAACTCCAAACCTTTTTCATCACATACCCCATCATTTAAAAATTTTAAGCATGGACCCCAATTTATTAATTTATAAATTATATACTTGTTCTACTGTACTAGTATATTTTTACATTATAATTTTTTAATTTCCCTTTTTGTCATATTGTTTATTTACTTTTGTTTAGTTTTCATTTTATTTTATTATTTTAAAAAATTGTATTACATATTTTCTTCCTACACTCCATTTCGGAGACTACTGATCTCAATGAACCTCCCACTCAAAACTCTCTATCACTACGGAGAACTCTGATCTGTCAAGTTCCTGGATGAAAGTTGAAAGTGAAGGTAACAATACCAGTTGTCGTGGGGTTCTGCCACAGACAACCCAACTCAGTAAAGTAAGTGGAAAAAACTTTCTACAAATAACTGAATTTTCAGAGAAAGACAATAAGTTGCTTCTAAATTCATAGATGCCAGCTAAAGCATGCCTAAAAATAGCAGTCTGGTCTTTCAGGTAGCAGGCTGATGAGATAGTGCTGGCTTCAATATATCTATCCTACAATAACTATTGTTCTGGATCTTCAACTTCTGCCACAGCTGGAATGGTATTATTTCATTCAACAGCACAAAGAGTGTATATGACTATATATATGTGTATTGGGGCATCACCCCCTGAAATGTCTAGGGCTGTCCTCTCACACGAGCCTGGCCTGGAGGCACTCTCAAATATATGCTGTTTGAGAGATTTGAGGACTTGGCTAGGACAAGGATTTCTGATGGAAGATGTCTTGTAATGTAAACTAGTGCTGTTAGGATGTCTTGTTTCATATCTACATCAAAAGTGATCTGCCTGTCAAAAGATCTGCCTTCATTTGTATTTTATATGTTATTAGTAGCTATTTGTCCTGCAATAAAATACTGCAGTTCACATTCAGGACACTCTACCTTGCTGTCACCTGGATATACTTTCTGACTGGGTTAATGCAAGCTCAAGATCTCTTGCTTTCGAAATAGGAGGTGACAGAGGCAAGGGCAAGAACTCCTTCTGCATTTCATCTATTCTATATAACTATATGGGCTTTGCTAACAGTATTGAACTGGTACTTTTTCCCCTTCAAAAACTAATTCCAGCTTCCATGACTCTATATTGTTGTGATGGCTTGAAGTCACAATGTCAGTGCTGCTAATGCTAATCTGATAAACCCTTTATTTGCAACCTACAAGTTACTCGGAGAGGATAAGCAGTTCCTATCTTCAGACAGAAAGCTGACTTTAGAGGAAAGGGAGATGGCCTCCAAATGTGAGTACCAAGCCTATAATGGTTGTTTGCCCAAAGCCACGACCACACTCAAGGAAGCAGGACTACCACTTCTGTAGATACCCTCTGCAAACAAGCTGCTTAAATGAACTGTTAGTTACCTAACAGTTAAAATGTGTATTAAGTTCTGTTACACTGTTCATTTACCTTGACCATTTGTAAAAAACAGCTCCATTAATGTGTCACTTGTATACTTGTGTCTACGCTAGTAGATTGTATCTACGTGTAAATGAAAGGGAAGATAGTCATTAGCTTTAAGAAGTTCCTCTGTCACTAACAAATGGAATATGTTAAATTTCTTAGTATCAACTATGAGTTGGTCAGGCTGGAGGCAGAACCAGTGATGTGCAAACTTGTCCTCTTTTGTCTCTCAGAGAAACGGTATTAGTTGAGCTGACAAAAGATAAGCAGGCAGATGGCACTTTATGGAGGGCAAAGCACACTGTCAAAGCACGTAAGACCATCTGCCTTGGGGTTGATTTGGCTTGGCACCCATTAGAACAATAATTTAGGGCAGAAGATGAGAAAATCGAAATATAAGGAAGACAGAAAAATAATTGTTTGGGTTCTTAATTTTTCTTATTCATATGAGATATATAGAAAATTCCAGGCTTTCTTCTGCAAAATGCTGGAAAATGTGTGGAAGGTATTCGCCTTGTACAAACAGGTTTGCCACACGTATGCAGACAGTATGGTCCTAGAGTACAAAGGAAGTATTCCTCAATAAAAGAGGAATTCTAGGGCTTCCTTGGAAAACAGGACAGCTAAGGAAGCAGAGGTGGAGGTGCCCAGAAGTGCTGAGCTAGGATGTGCAGATATTTCATTGTGCAAAGACCGCTCAGAACTGCGAGGTCCCCAGCACTACCTTCTTCCCAGCCCTGATAGTGGATCCGTATCCAATACCTGAAGATGACATAGCAAAACTCCATGGGAAAAAGGTTTGTGTAATTTAGAAGTTTGACATGAAACTACCTAGGTAGTTAGTGATGTATAAAATAAAAACAGACTTAGTTCTAGTCCTGTGAAAAAATTGGCTTTGCTTCTTTCTTTGTACAAGGAATACTGCATAGCTTGGCCAAATACCTGCATACAATAATAAGGCACATCATGGTTCCAAAGTTTCACTCTTCTCATATTGTAGATGACTACTATCATTTTGTGATTGCTGTGCCCAGCCTATCACTGGACTTTCATCAACCTTTCTTTAGAGGCAAGTGGAACATTGTGGTCAACTCCAGGATTTCCAATCTCAGTTTTCCAATTTTTCTTAAGAGATGTTTTCTAGTAATTCATTCTGATTACTGGCTTATTAAGAAATGAGATGGCTTCTGTGATATAAACAACATTGGTTGTTTTGCTCCTGCCAAACTTCCTAATTTATCTAACTGGGTCACTGGTTTACTGAGGTGCACTTCAGGGAAATTCTGCTGCAGCTTAGTCTGATATTGAGAAGTTGCGAAGGCTTCTTCCCTACAAGAAAGGTCATTAGCACAAAGTCTGATGCATGAAGAATTACCCCTATGCTAATCCTGGGGTTGGCGGTGTGAGTAATCCGAGCTTGAACGGAAAGCTCAGGCTCGGTAGGCATGATTCACGTAATCCTACTGCAGTCTGCAGAGCTCGGTGACTTAACTGAATCATCTGCTTCTGATGTTCCTTCTCTTCTTGCCCAAGAGAATGAAGGAGCCTTAAACAGCCCTGCACCTTTTTCCCCATTAGCCTGATAAAGCTCCTGCCCTTAAGTTTGTAAGGGCTTGTATTTAGACAATGAGTAGGGATCGTGAACAGTGCTATTCAACATTGGCAGCTGATGTGAGTTGCTGGTATTTAATCTGTGTTATTGATAAGATAAAACTTGGCAGATTTTTACAGTTACTTGAAAATGTTACATTTAGTAGCAGAAAATAAATTCAGATAATGATTTTGTATCTTGCTTAAACTTTTAAATGCATGAAAATGCACTAATGGGCCATTCTTTATAACATTCTCTTCTGCTGCTTTATTTCATTTTTTTTAAAAAAGAAAAATCTTGAACTTGTTGAAACCAGAATTAATTCTGTCACTGCCTTCAGCGGGACTGGGATTCAACATCAGTGCCTATATTTGTAAGTCTGAATTTAGAACAAGTAGGAGAAAGCATTTGGTATGTTACAGACAAAAGTCGTCTACAAGCTGTGTTCCATGCATAGCGAAAAACTATATATATTCTGCCTGCATACATGCTTATCTAATTTTTTAAAAAATAGCCCACTGAATTACATATCTTAGAGTTAACAGATGGATGATGTCTTTGTACCAGCTTCTACTTGCACTGCTGGACAGAGCAAAAACATTTCTTGGAAGTTAGATTCTAATCCTACAGATTCACCTGGATCAAGAACAAATTTTGGTTTTCATCAAACTCAAGTAACATTTAGCAACCCCACCCCTCAAAAGGGAAGCAGCTGCACATAAGCCTACATATTAGCTGTGACCCTCATGTGGCCTCCCCAAACCTTGTCCATATCCTCTAGAAGCAAGGGGTTGAGATCCAGAAGTAAAGATGAGCAGGCTGTGCAGTGAGTTGGATCAGGACTTGACAGGATTTGACATGCAAGCTCAATTCTTGACTACAATTTTCTTGTAGTTAGCAAATACCTTGTCCACATTTTGTTATTTCCCAGAACTAATAAACTGTAATTTTTCATAACCTGAACTCTTATGACCTGCAAAATCAATTGTTCAGCATAGTTATACTTCTCCTTACAATTTTGGATTACATGAACTATTCTGGTTCTAAATTACCCTTTATCCTGCATATCAGTAGGTTAATACCAGATAGACTGGAGCCTTTCTTCTTACCCTGGCATCTGTAGCCTCATATGTGACTGTGACTACTTTGCTTGCACTTGTAGTGATTTACAACTAATGGACAGGCATAGGATTGTTCAGCTTCTAAAATCAGCCTTGAGGGGTTGAGATCTCAGTACAGAATGTCACATTTAAAAAATTATATAAATTTTGGTGCTGGAACCCAAAATTCATATATTTTTAAGAAATATTCATTAGTAATAGCATATGATAACTAAAATTGTAATACATTTACAAAATCACCTTTAAATGGGTATAGTAGTGAGGCAGAAGTGAAAGAATGTAGTCTTGAAACACACTACAGTGGAAGGGCACAGCCCCACACTTACACCTGTCCACCTCTGGCACGTAAATAAGGTGCGGACAGTCAAGGACGTGTTCGGAGCGTGCAGCGCGATCGCCGCCGGGCC